TGTCTCAATTCATTGGAGATACCTAAATGTAATTCCTCTGAGTTCCTTATCAAGGAGTTCCAATGCTGTGTCTTCCTCAGGGATGTGTTTTGGGTCTATATCCTGGTCCCTTGTTTCTCCTGCTTTATCTTGCTTCTTTGTGTGCACTGTGATGCTCTGTTGTCACCGAGGCATTATGACATTTTAGTGTTTATATTTAATTGGTGATTGTATGTTGAAGTGACTTGCCTATGATTTTTGTTTTCTTTGTATGTTATCTATATAAGCCAGGTTCTGTGCTGTGCTCCTCTATTCACTAGTTGACATCACTTACACACTCATCACCTGTCTCCTTTACTGTTGTTAGTCTCCCATATGTCCCTGCCATCCTTGGCAAACAGAACCTATTCTTAGATCCCTGGAATCTGAATAAAAATGCTGTCACTTTAAAATCCAAAATGGCCACTGCTTGTAAAGATTAAAAATGGCTGCACCCTCAGTCACTTTAAATATCCGAAATGGCTGCTGCTTGTAAACATTCAAAATGGCTGCGCCCTCGGTCACTTTAAATATCCAAAATGGCCAACGCTTGTAAACATTCAAAATGGCTGCGCCCTCGGTCACTTTACATATCCAAAATGGCCAACGCTTGTAAACATTCAAAATGGCTGCGCCCTCAGTCACTTTAAATATCCAAAATGGCTGCTGCGTGTAAATAATCAAAATGACTGCATCCTCCAGATGGCAGAAAGTCCACAGCTCAGGTTGTCTCCCTCCTTGTTGTTTCCCTTCCTGGTCAAAGGCCACCACTGCAGTTGTCCCTGCAGCCCTTTGCGACTAGAGCTGATCTTTAGGTCAGTTCTCAGGTCCCAACACCACTTGGAAATACTCAGCCTGTTGGTCCCATCAGAGTAGCTGACAGTCCACTGCTCCGACCATCTCTGTGCTCACTCTTTTTGTTCAGGTTTTTCCTCTAGTTGGTGCCTAATCCACTTGGTTATAGTTCCTTTCAAAGCTCAGAGCTCCAGGATTATCTTCTGTATCTCTGTCAATTGGTTTATCTTTCCTTTGTTTAAGAGGGTCTGTGTAACTTGTCTACCTAGTCCTCCATCTTACTGGAAGTCATATTTGGATGTTCTTACAACACATGCAAATATGTAGAAATATCATCTACCAACCCTATATGTGGTCATGGGTATATTCCCTTTTGCCTAGACATACCTGATCATTCAGCCTGTCTGCCCATCTGTTTACCTGTAGATTAATGTTTGTTATCACTGACAGTGCAGTATTGTATATGTAAAAGGGTTTATCTTTGTTGTCTTTACCTCTTCTCTACCTCTCTGTGTCTTCCTCAGGGCCACCATTTTGATCACTCGCTTTTGGTACATTATCCTTCCCTTCACCCGAATTAGTACTTGTCTTTACCTGTCTAGCAGTGTTCCCTCCTCTTCACTTCTATCTTTGGTAACCAACAAAGAGCACTTCCTTCCATATGTAAACCAAGAAAGCTGTTTTGAAATGCTTCTGTGGAAAGAGTTTGTATATTCTTGCTGTTTCGTTTAGGGTATTCTATCTCACCTGAAATCCTCTTGCTTTAAGGAATGCTTTCATACTTTACTTTTAGAAAGTGTTCACTCAGTATCTGCTGTACAGGGGCACTGTAGTATTGACAGTCTTCATCCTTTACCAGCTGGCCCAGTATTATAAGGGTCTGCAGTACTCAGAACAAAACTGTTGAAGAAGTAGTAAGAAAGAATAAGTTAATTGGGGCGTTGGGGGTGTTGAGTAGCTGTGAGTTACATGTCTAGACACTGAAAGTCATCATCTTTTTTCTCATCATTTCTGCTTCTGTATTTTCTGTCTTTAGATTGAAAATAGCTGGCTACCATCCTCTCAGACTATTTTACTGTCATTTCTCATCCTCTTTCAGAGGCTGTCAATAGTTCCAGTTCCTTTAACATTCTTTAGAAGTTTAATTTTTCATCCTATTAATCATCTTCGAATCTCGCTTGAAATCCTTCCTGGTTTTCTTTTTCCTCACATTCTTTGTCCATTTCTTGAACACAGTGCCCTGAGAGTATCTGACAACATTGGAGTATTGAGAGAGGAAGACCTCACACTCGTATACTTGTGAGAGTTCATTTCACACACCTGTAGATGTTTGCTGTCCAAAAGTGTAGGTGTACTCTGCTAACTGGTGGTCAGATTTTTCCCTCCTGTGACCTTGATAGTTTTCTTATGTTTGTTTATAGCTTTACAATTCTGGAATTATTTTTCGTGTGTGTGTGTGTGTGTGTGTGT